TTAAGGTAGTATTTCCAGTGCTTGAAATCATACTCAAGTCTGCTCAAATCCTGACTTGAGCATTCAGTAGAGTTCTGGAATACGACTCTTAGACACACTTACTTGAAGAAGGCTTGCTAGAAGACACTGGTTCGAATCCAACCGGATCGAAGGATTTTTTTAAGTGTTCAATCTTTGTATTAATAAATTAATAATTATAAATGGAGTAATTTCACAAAAAATAATTGACTGTCATGGTGCTGAAACATTCAATAAACTTAACTTCAAAAAACAGTTTGCTAAAATATAAACTACCCGCTTTTTATTGTGTAGAATACAAAATATATTATATATATTATAATGGTATTGGGGTCTGAGTCAAACGACATCTTGGAAATCACTGACTTTTATTCATTCTCCTTCACCATGTTCATCTGATTAGGTCAATTTCATTGCACGTGATCAGTGTATCACAAGCCGACAGAGTAAATACTCCTTGCATACCAATTAATGGGCCTCGGTCTTTGGATACTATCATTTAATTAATTCGTTTGAAATCAAAATAATGGAACGTCTACCAAGTTTATTACATTTTTGTTTTCATTACTTAAAGAAAATAATCTATTAATCGATAAATAGGTATGTCCCATAGTGTTATTATTATAATGATTCCAGTTTTTTCCGACTTTGCACTGTTCTATTTTTCTCTTAGCGGAAGAAAAAAAATAAAGGAATTTTTTCTCCAAAACTTAGCAATTAATTGTCACGGTGACAGATAACATCGTCAAGCAGACTATTTTTTTTGTTACTGAACGAAAACGACGCCAACTTTGTTTTACTAAACAATTTTATTTTTTATTTCCCGCTAAATAAAACTTTCTACAATGTTTCTAAAAGAAAGAAAATAACATGAGCTCTCAAATTATATTTTTGTAATGTCATTAAAATATATATATAACCGTCATTGTGAATAAAAACCGCCGAAGTATTTTAATAACCGGCAATCTATCTCACCACCGCTACACATGTCTTTCAACCCTGACATTGGCAAAATCGTCGCGCAAAAGGACGGAGCCATAGACACAAAAATTGAAGTTGAAGTCAACGTATGGGACGTTTGAACATGACCGGGTAAAAGTGTTTTGATATAAAATATAATTATTTAAAATTGAGAGTGGTGCAAACCTAATGGCTCCCATTACGTGGTATAATAATAACGCCAAGAAGTTTTTTGAACGGAATATATATGTACAAAGCCATGGGAAATAGTAATAAATAAATAAATAAAAAATACATTTTCATTAATTGTAATCATCGAAAAAATGGTCTTCCTCAGGCATTTATTCCGTTTATTTACTTTTATGTGGACCAGTGTTACTCGGTTAAAATTAATAAAATTAACAGATCATGAATTCGCCTACTAATTAAATACAAATATTTACGTGAGTGGGACGCATTCAGACTGTGATTTGATTTTATGCGCCCCCAATTATGATGCAACTGTAGTGCCCGTAGCCACCCAGTCAATACAATGCCCATAGATTTATATTACACTCCCGGTTCTCCTCCATGCCGGTTTGTGATGATGGTTGGCGCTGCGACAAATGTTGAGTTCAATTGCATCGAAATCAATTTACGAGCCAAAGAACAATATAAACCTGAATTTTTAGAAGTAAGTCATAATGCCTAGCTATGTATGATTTCGTTCAATTACGGTTCAGACGGGACAAGGGATGTACTCCCTTTCTCCGACCGACACCCGTCCAAAACAACTACCTACTGCCAAATAGAGATGGAAAAAGTTGCTTATTTTTTTAAACGTTTATGCTTTTTAAAAAAAGCGTGCTTTTTTAAACGCCTCTTCACTTAAACGCTTTTTAGTTTGAAGCTAACAAAATCTTTTAGAAAACGTTTAAGGGCATGTTAAAAAAGCTTGCAACGTTGTGTTCATTGCGAAACGCAATAGTAGACCACTAAAGATTTTAATATAAGTAAGTTTTTTTTGTAAAAAACGAGTTATATTTTTATTTCTGACATAACATTGTTACATTAACATTTTGTTTATTGGCGCTTAAAAGCATTCAAAAACATAAGTTGTTTAACTTTTGTAGTTGATAACCGTTGAAATGGAAAAACCACTTATTTTTTTAACGTTAAAACTTACGTTTTAAAAGCGTGCTTGTAAAAGTGCTTTTCATCTAAATGCTTTTTGGTTTAACGCTTAAAAGTCGTTTAGAAAAACGTTTAAGCGCATGGACTTTAGGTTTAAAAAAGCTTGCAACGTTATGTTGAATTAATTTCAGGAAACATAGATGGCGCTACTTGAAACTTAGGCACGTTGGAAAAAATGAAATTGTTAAATACATATAGAACTGACCAGTGACCAACGCTTACGCTTATGCGCTTATTTTAAAAAGCAGACTTTTTAAGTGCTTTTCGTTTAAACGCCCACCTCTACTGCCAAATAAGTTTCACTCCAATAAATTAAATGACGCGTGATGCGAATGAAGCTTCATACTTGGCATTGTCGTTTGATTTAGTCGAGTATTATTTATTTAGGAGTACGGGAGTAGACCCTCAGAATCGAACTATTTGTGGTAAGTAAGATTGCCAGCAGATGGACTGCATGTGTGCAGTATTAACTGCATATTAACGTAAAGTCGTGATCAACTTCATGCAGTCGAGATTTCAATTGTAAGCGTCAGCTGCAGCCGATGTGAACGATAGACCGAGAATCAAAAACAGCAATTAACATTTTTAAAAGGAATATGATTTGTTTGTGTCTGAAACAACTACATTTTTTTCAGTAATTGGAAAAGGATTATTTGAGGGTTTACTCAAGATATACAGAAAGAGACAAATGAGAAAATATGAGATGTACAAGCGGGATTTAATAAGGGAAAGGGATGTACGGACCAAGTCTTTTAAGCGCCAGAAAGTGTTCTGTGCATTTGTGGATCTGTAGAAGACTCATGGTCTAGTGGAGAGGAGAGGAATGTACTGTGGAGCGTGTTGTTGTCCGCTACGCTGATACGTGCACTGAAATCGCTGTAGGTATGAGGAATCCAGAACGTGTGTCAGAGTTGACGGCGCTTATTCTGATTGGTTTGGCATCTCTAAAGGGAAATGCTGTAAATGGAGCCATAAACAATAATAATAATAATAATAACACGTACACTCAACATAGCCCCGCACTAGGGAAACCCTGTGTCGCAGGTGCCATAGACACACATAAAGACATCCACAAATTACACCCAAACTCACGAGAGAAATAAATGTTGGCCATACAAATATTTCTCCCGGCCCGGGAATCGAACCCAGGACCTCTACGTGGCAGTCTGGCATGGTAACCGTTCGGCCACGGAGGCAGTTATTGTAAATGGTTTACTGATGATGTTCTGAGCAACATCTTATCCCAAAAGGCGCACATGGCCGTACACAATGCTATGCTGGTTGCTACACTGACGTTTGGTAACGAGAGTTGGGTATGACAGAAGAAGCATGAAAATGCAGTGGAAATTAGATCTTTGAGGAAAATTTGTGGAATAAAGTTGAGTGGTAGAGTGAAGAATATAATAATTTTGATAATATTATTATCAGTTTTTGATGATCAACTACCTATTTATTCCCTTAGCATTATTGAACTGTGCATTTCAGATGAATCCTCAACATCTTGTGCCCACAATTAACGATCATGGCTTCGTTCTGTGGGAGTCGAGAGCCATTAGCAGATATATAGTGAACAAATATGATCATAATTCTAAGCTGTATCCGCAAGATCCGCAAACGAGGGCTCTCATAGACCAACGGCTCGATTTCGACCTAGGAACGCTGTGTCCGAGCTTCTCGCAATTCTTTGTAAGTACACGTCACTTTTAAACAAATGAAATACACAACTATTTCAAAATAATAACTTTTTATAATAATAACCGCTTCAAAAGTTATGTTTTATGATAGATACCCTGTGATGGGACGAACAACTCGAGCGCCTGGTCACAGATAACTTAATAGTAAGCGACACGCTTTTCCCTAACAGTCGCAGTGTTACTCAGAACTTTAAATTGCAAAGATCTAACGGACACTGCCACTGTGCCAGTCACCATGAGACATAAGTTGACAAGTTCTATTTCACCAGCTCCCTCCAAAACTGAATCGCAGTAAAGGTGGCAAAAGAAGAGGTAAGGTGGCAGTACTTTTTCACAAGGAGCTTTAATAATAACAATAATAATAATTTATTTCAGACTTTTTTTGTCCATAAATGGTTAGTATACTTTTGCTTTACTGCTAAACTAAGTTTGTGGTATTACATCTGTTTGTTGTATTTCGTTCAAGTCATCAAGTTCTGTTGGAATCGGTAAATGGAAAGTGGGTGAAATCCAATAAACCGGGATCGTCCCGTAATTTTCTGTCTTTAGAGGTGGAATATTTTCTTCGAATTTGAATGAGGCCACTACTGCGATACCCCGTTTCCAACAAAAAAAAAAGAAACATGTAAAAAACGTCGCACCTCCTTTTTTTTGAGATCACAGTGCGTCAATTCATACTGAATCTTAGGTCTAACACCTTATGTCTAAAAGCTTTGAAGGTTCAAATTAAGGGCGCGCACAAATTAGCTGCTGTTAGAAGCGCTGCAGCCGCGCGACTGTCGCGCTGCTGAAGTGCGACTAAATTTTTAGTGATGTTTTATCTTTCGTCTCACTTACGCGATGTATTCTGACGAAGAAACATTAATTTTACCTAGTTCTTGGGGCACACACTTCACATATAGGTATTAAAAGTGACTCACCTGCTATGTTTCTTTTTCAGTTGTAGTTTCAGTTTTAATATTGTCAAAAACTTTTAGACATTAATTTTCTCATGCCTTTTTTATCCAGTCGATTGGAATAACTGGCGGAACTACTGTCCCATATTGCCGGGTGTTGTTTTACATTCTCTATAGATGCTTCAATTCGATTTTCATCCATCGTGGTTAATTTGAAAAATTAATATGCACACCTCACTAACCGTGACTGCAACCGAGTGTGACTGCAGCGTACAGAACACTATACTCACAAGGAGCTGCAGCGCGACTGTCTTGGAATTGTATGAATAGTGACAGTCGCGACGCAGCTGCGGAGCTGCTGCAGCGCGTCTAACAGCGGCTATCTTGAACGCGGTCTAAAAATGCGTTCCAAAGGTTTTTATTTAAAATTTATTTTATTATAAAATTAATTTAAGTTTTATGTAGGTGTAGTTACAAACAAAGCAAGGAATATATTCAAGGTGAAATACATTATTTTCCAGTACCCTTCTCTATTCAGTGGTATTGAACCGAATAAAACGCAGATCAAGAAGCTTGCAGACGCGTTGTCAGTCCTGAACAGGTTGCTTCACGGCCTGGAATTCGCAGTTCCCGGTGAAAGCTTAACTTTGGCGGACCTGTGTTTGGCGACCACTATATCTAACATAGATGCTGCTGGTATTGATCTGAGGCGATATCCAAATATTGAAAGGTGATCTTCTTGTAATGTGCTTGTGCGTGTACAATTTCGCCATCTTTGTATAACTTCTGAGAATATTAAGGTGCTTCGCCGGAAACTTGGAAACATTTTCTATTGGAAATTATGCTACTTTTTTGGGATTTCAATCGCGATAAAAATTTTAATATTTGTTATTTTTCAAACAAATGTTCCGGGCTCTACAAGTCCCATGGTCACGTCTGATTGAGTTACCAACAAATTATGGCTAATATTATTGTTTGAAACAAAAGTTTCATTTCCAATGTGTAAATGGTCTGTGGTGAAAACCTAAGATCTTAAAACATGTTTTATGTTTTCATGTCCATTTTTTAAATAATAAATTTTGTAAATACCTACTCCGTACAGTCGCATGTATTTTTCAGTTGGTTCGCCCTCATAAAAGTGTCAGCGCCAAAGTATCGGGAAGTGAACGAACAAGGCCTGAGGGACTTCAAAAATCTTGTGAAAGAAGTTCTGAAACCCAAGAAGGCAGCACTTATTAAGACTGTTATTAGCAAAGTAGTATTTGCAGAGGGATCTGGCAAAAAGGCGAAACTATTAAAAAAAAACTCAAAAATCTAACGAACAAAAACAACCGGAAGAACATAATTAAACAGAAAACAAACGTGATTTGGCTGCACAAGTCAGCCATAGTCTGTTAGAATAGCAGAGAAGGTAAACCTATCACAATCAGTTATACATTAATCAGTTAAAACCACGAAGCAATGGCACTGTTAATGAAATTGTCCACGCCTATATTAAAAAAAAACAGTCTCTACAATGTCCATCATAGCAATAAATTCGACCAGAAAATCCATAGAATCTTTACCATCAATATCTTCAGTTAGCTTTTCTCATACAGCATCATACACCTCAATAAACTGTTCCGCGTTCTCCTATGTAGGCAAGCTACAACCAAATATAGCAGCTAACCAAATTTAACGAGTGAAACTGGAATGAATTTACCAGCAATTATGAAGAAAAACCAAAATTTTGTATTGAGTGCTGCCTCAGACGAATCCTGTATCAGTATTGATGGCACTGCTGCCACTACAACAGCATCAAGTAGTTCCATAATTTCCTCAGAATTTAGTATAACCATAAAAAATAATTAGAATCCCATAGCTAAGATATAAAATTTGTTAGTGCCCGCGAGCATGATACCCGAATTAACTGTAATAATTGCCATTTTACCTAGATTACACAGCTTAAGTTGAGCTAAATAATTAGATACAAGCGTAAGTTGTAATTAAAACAATGAAGCCATTTTTCAATTTATTTATTGTAACCAAATAAAAGTTCAACGTACAATAATATTATGCAAAAACGCGTCTGTACAAAAATTATGAGAACTGAGATGGAATAATTTCGTGACGGCTGGTGTTTCAATAATAAATACAGGGCCGTTAAAAGATTGAGAACAGGGGCTCGTAAAATATCGCGTTTGCATGAACTACATTTTATTTTTAGTGCCCCATCACAAACATCCCCGTTTACAAAAGGTAGTGCGGTTGCTTCTTCCTGCTGTTGACAACAACCTTCAAACCTTCCAATCCCTTCTCGTTAGCCTCTTCGTAACCCGTGGCCGTAGTTTTCACTGTCTCGTACCATCTGTGGAAACAAATAAAATTATTGATATATTGATATATTATGATAGGTTTTTAATACATTTTAAACTACACTTACCCACATACATTTATACAATCTTATATTGATGGATCGAGTCACATTAGCAGGTTGTTCATAAACGAGTAAGATAAATGCTATCAATAAACTTCTAAAATTAAAAATATGTTTCATTCATTACATTTTTACCTCTATATACTTATATATCGCACCGCTATTACAATAGTGTTGTAACTCAAAATATGTGAAATTTAATATTATATCATTACTGAACGTAAAATTTGATTCTCTTCACGTCAAAAAAACCGTTGTTAGAATATTGTAAGAAACAATCAAAAGATATCTACTTAACTCAAAAAGAGACATACTTTATGTGAGCTAGTTCTGGCCAAAATAATCCTAATTAAAAAACATAAAATTACTTTTGCCATTTTATTTTAAAAATACATTTGAGAAAGTGTCTATAATAAACTATAACATATACATTTTAATATTTTTTTTGCGGGAAGTAGTAATTCGTTTTTCATCGATTCTGAATAAGTCCTCTTTTCGAGTTAATACACTATTGTATTAACAGTGCGATATATACATACATATATGTATTTCTTGAAATCAATGTCAGAAGCTACAAAGCTGGAAACGGAGACCACAAGATTCAAGTCAGCAAGGGTCAGATTGGGGCCGGCAGAATATTTTTCACCTTCGAGGAACGTGTTATAGTATATTACGATATTAGTGCGTAAAGATGGTCATAACATGCGAGGCGGAGTTTTAAAAAGGCGAGGGCTTAATTGAGCCGAGCATGTTATAACCAATACACACGTATATCGTACGACGTTTTTTAACACATTTGCGAGGAAACAGAAAAAAAACATTTTATATTTTGTTCATTTTTAATTATTGAAACAGAGAAATTTTCATACGTGGTTATGTATCTATCCTTGGATATTGACGGCAGCAAGCTGTCGCATGCGGTTCGCGCTTCTGTTAGTATATCCGGTGGAGTTGAAGTAATATATTGCTCATCTTCATTATTGAAAGTTGTCATTTTTAGATATTCACAATACAAGTACAAAGAAAAGAAAATTTGAGAAAAATGGCGCGAGGATTATTTTCTACCGTGGCTGCGTGAAAATGTTGGCAAAGACGCTAGAGCATGCAGCCAAGTTTTTAAATTACCAAATAAACTGTTTTTTTTTTTAAATAAACTCAATCTGTGAATGCACACTGTTGCTTTCCCGCCATTTTAACAGCGCGCTAGCGCTGCCTACTGACTGGCGCCGCGCGGCGATTTGTTCGAAATTTGAATAGCAACAGCGCGCTGCTCACTAGCTGGAGTCGTGCGGCGGCGATCAGTTCCATATTTGAAATGGCAAATAATACTGTTATGGAATTTGTATGGACTATAACTTACCTATTTGCTTTGGTAACACACGCGTTTTTTACATATTTAAAACCGGTGGAATTACATCAGCTTTACGAGCAAGGGTGTTAAAAAAGACTTTAAGAGCGTCTTCAACTTTAATAAGTTTCTCTTCGTCGGCTGGTGCGCCATAGATTGCTTGTGTATACTGAAATACACGTATGGAAGGTGGTTTATTTTTCTTTTGAGACGAAAGTCTCGGACAGGTGTACGAAAGAATACCAGTTAAAATCTAATTTTACGGATATACAGAGTATTTATGAACACTAACAACCTCGTAAGACTATTTTAGTAACATCCTAAACAGCAACTTTTGTTCTATGACTTAATAATTCGTTAGATTTTACAAAACAAAAATATTTAAATAGATCACTCTAAACAGCTCTGTGCGGTGACAAGAGAAAGTGGGGGTCATCGAGAAGGACGCTTGCACGTTTGAACTTTTTTTTACTTACTAAATTGTCAGATATTTTTTCTGGTTAACTTGTTATGTTTTGTAAAATTCGTTGTTTATTGATGTTTGTAATACAGCCCTGCGAATGATAAAAATAATCCTGCGTATAAAAGGGAACTCTCAAATTCACAGGCTGGGTGGTAAGTAGTTAGGTGTTCAAAAATGCATACTCACACATGATACTCAATACTTACGAAGTAATCAAAGTAAAAAGTACATTCTTTGGTCAACCATGGCTCTGGCTTTTGGGCCTTCGGGGTAAAGATTGCTACCACGGCCATATTTATTCATCAAGTGATGAATAAATATGTGATGATGGCACGAAACTCCAAGAGACAGAAGCTGTCGTCAACTGATGTCGAAATTGTGTGTTGTGGATTAACCCAGTACGCTGTAGAAAGAGAATAAATATTAGACAACATCACACACGTTGTACTGATCTTATAATAAGTAAATAAAGGACTTATGTTATGAAAATCGGAAGTAAACAACGACAACGGTACCACAAACGCCCAGACCCGAGTCAATATAGAGTCAGTCTTTCCGAAGGCTTAGGTTTTAGGTAGGGCGTTTTCAAGTTAAATTTGTCTTATATATTTAAATGAAGTTGTTCACATATAGTACAACACGATTAACTAATGTTCACGACTTTTTTGACGTTACTACGACAGACTGTCGTGACAATGGGACGAGCTAGATCGACTGTCGTCTCTGCTTACGCAAATTTGATCATGTTTCTTCTTTTAGGTCTCAACTTAAATGGCTCCCTATTCGTCAACGTCGGCAGAAGAGACTTCTCTGCACGTTGTACTCTATTCTTTTCAATCCTCACTATCCAGAATACTTAAAATGTAAATTTCAATATCTCTGGGACTCACAACCTCCCTCTTCGATCCATGAATTCACTCTCACTCACTGTATGTACCCTCTTTTATTCTGGCTTCATGTATAACTCCTTCACTCTCCAGTCGATACGCCTCTGGAATGCTCTCCCAGACCCCATCAGAAGGTCTCCCAGTATATTCTCTTTCAAAAACAATGTTCATGAGCATCTTTTAAATTGTTTGTCACAATGATAACCATCATCATATTCTGTATATATATATAGTTTGTCACAATGATAACCACCATCATATTCTGTATATATATATACATATTATGTATATGACTGTGTTAGGTTGTATGTATGAGTGTATTAGGTTCGTTTGTTATAACTTATTATTAACGTAATATTTTGTTTCATAATTATTAATATAATTTTTAATTAAAATAATAATATATAATATATTAATATAATAATTCGCTGCGTTCGTGAATTTCGTTTTTCTTAAAGGTTGACTGGTAGAGAATGCTTTTAGCATTAAGTCCGCCTTTTGTATCATCATGTCTTGTGGTCATTAAAGTTTTAATAAATAAATAAAAATGTGAACAAATAATCGCAGCTTCAAACGATTCTGTCGTGCAAATGACAAGGCGGCTGCCGCCGTGAAGCGATAAATTGTCGTCACAATCTAGTGGAAACAGCTAAACACGACAGTCGTTCAACGATAAAATAAACGCCCACGACAAATAGTCGTGATATGGGAACAGGCTAGACGCGCAAGTCGTCCAACGATAAGTAAAACGTTACGACATAATGGAAACGCGCCCTAATAGAGATTTTATTTCAGTAGCCGCTGTCTTCAAAACCGAACAAATGTGGGGACAATAACTAGCTACGAGCACTATTGAGATTTTCGCAATTATTTTTTAATTCTCATTAGCGTGTCATCTGACTTTTACTGATGAACTAACGAACTTTGACACGTTTAGATACTGAGGTAAGATTTGTTTTAAGAATTTGAAATACATATGCTATGGCGTGTGTGGGGCATTTACTCAGCACAGGTTTTTAAAAGGCTTACGATGATGGTGAGGATTAGTACTGGTTTGTACAGACATAATTTAATTTGCTTTCATAATCAACAGGTATGTCGTTGAACGTATAATAATATGTAGTAGGAAACGTGATATGAGGTGACGTGTATTTTCGCAATTATAACAACAGGTATCATCAATAGAAGGATTGATTATTTATATTTCTTTAGTACACTCGGAGCCCTCACTTAGCTATCCACTTAGGTAATAAGGCTATACAAATGTTGGATACCTAAGTGGTGGCACCGAATGTACTAAGATAAATATAAGTATTAGACAACAGTACATACGTTTGACTGATCTCAAAGTAAGTAACTAAAGTACTTGTGTTATAGAAATCGGAAACAACGACGGCGACAGTACCACAAACACCCTTACCTATTTCTACCGCCAAGCAGTAATGTGAGCATTACTGCGTTCCGATTTGGAAGGGTAAGGGTGCTGGTGAAATAATGGGGAACATGGGACTTGTTAACTTGTCTCAGGGTGATGGGGACTGTGGCAGTGTCCCTATTGTGTTTAAAAATGGCACAGCAAGTGTTATAGATAGACGCTTACCACCAACTGCACGACGTGTTCGTACCATCAATTGGTGTTTTATTACAACTTAAACAAAACCAGATGTATTTTGTATACGTAGTACAAGTGCAACCCTGATTTAATTCGCCCGTGTACTGTGAACATGTTTACTTCCTGAGGACCATAGTCCCCTTGAAGTGGTGGCATTCGGTTACGAAACTCAATTACCGAAACCCGTTCATAACGTCAAACCAGACTGATAGTACTGGCAACTATATTTGTGTGATGTGTAATATTTAATTACACTTCATTGTAGCGTATTCAAGTTCACACTTGCTTTGCGCGGTAT